GCCTTGCCTGTCGGCAGTCTTGCGACAGCCCTCTTCACTTCCTCCTTAGTGATGGAAGGCACCAGAGGGGCGTCATCAGGTATATCTGAAAGATCAWTAATAACGACAGGTTGCTGTATTACCAGGGGAATGCGGTCCCATTCCGTGGCGGGTGGTGAAGGAAACAGACCACGAGCTACGCTGCTAATTGTGTCTCGGTCCAAGGCTGGAGCACGACGGCCAAGTCTTTTAGTAACCAACTTATATGGGACCCCCCAAGGGTCTTTGTCGACTGCAAGACACAACTCCTGCCAACTCTTTTCTTGCGCCCGCCTGATAGCACACTTGAGATTCTTCCTGGCCAGGTTATACATTTCCCGCTCAGCCACTCGTGTGAGTCCATTGGATCTACGGCCAGCGCGCTGATACCTCCTCAGGGCAACAATGGCAGTTTTCCGTAGCTCAGAAATTTCATCGTTCCACCAATGTACTGTCCTCTTGCGGGTCAGTGCAGTTCTGTGTGGCATCGCTGCGTCGCATGCAGCCACTAGAAAGTTATTCAGGTCGTCCGCATGGCTATCTGCCGAGTCACCCTCTGACCGCGGGGGAACGGCGACCAGGTCCCAATGGAGATTCAGCACCGTCCGGTTTAACTTCTTAATTGACCATCCTGGAATCGAGATTCTAGCCGGAGTATTTCTCAAACGGCGAGATACCGGATGCACCATAGCGTAGGATATATAGRCGTGATCGCTGGCCGAGTATTGGTGCCCCATCACTTCCCAGTCTGTTACTAGCGGATGATTGTTGGGTAGTGGTCTAGCGAAGGTAACATCAACGACTGAACTTGCATTAACCCTCCTGTATGTGGGGACAGAGCCCGTATTACAAACTACCATTCCGAGGGACGACACCAAGTCCGACAGCAGAGACCCTCTCACGTCTTCATAGGACGAACCCCATTCTTCGGAGTGCGCATTTAGGTCGCCAGCCACTATGAGGTTCACCGGGCTGTTAAGGTGCGGGCGGATGGATACTTCGAGGCCACTGAGAAAATTCTCGAATTCCTGTAGCG